GACTCCCTGCCGAGCAGGGAGCCCGATGCGGGACTCGATCCCGGGACTCCAGGATCATGACCTGAGCCGAAGGCAGTCGCTTAACCAACTGAGCCACCCCGGCGCCCGTAAAGTCTGTTTTTATCACCCGTTAAAAAGAAACAATAGGTCCCAAATGGAGTCAATTTTGCTAAGCACCATCAAGACTTAAAACCTAACCTAGTTGCAGTTTCAGCCTCTCCCAGGAGTGTAATTTTAAACCAATTATTCAGGAATTTCCTGATCAGCACTAGTGAGGTAGTCTGCATTTTAATAAAACCCCCTGTCTGCCCTTAAGGAAAGGTAAACTGGGGCGCCTGGGTGGCTCAGTTGGTTAAGCGACTGCCTTCAGTTCAGGTCATAATCCTGGAGTCGCAGGATCAAGTCCCATGTCGGGCTCCCTGCTCACCAGGGAGTCTGCCTCTCTCTCTGACCCTCCCCCCTCTCATGCTCTCTATCTCATTCTCTCTCTCAAATAAATAAATAAAATCTTAAAAAAAAAAAAGGGAAAGGTAAACTGATGAATGATCCAGTCTTTTAACTTCCTTGTCCCACCTTCCGACTATAAAACCCTTCCATTTTGTACAGTTCCCCGGAGGTCCTTTTCATTTGCTACCTTGGATGCTGCCGGGTTCATGAACAGTTGATTAAAGCTAAATTTCCTTGAATTTCTTTTAACACACCTAAATTGTCTTTTTTAAAAAATCATTTTGTAACACTACTAATCTGTTAGAGATAAATACTGAAATATTCACAGATGAAATAATGAGATTTGCTTTAAAATTATTCTACTGGCTGGGGGAAAGACTGATTAAACAAGATAGATTGGCATATGTTTATTATTGTTGAAATGGACTAATGGATACATGAGGGGGTCATTATACTATTCTCTCCACTTCTGTGAATGTTTGAAATGTTCCATTAACACAAAAAGAAAACTATGGTGCTTTTCAATCACAGAATTTCAACATAGTCATGACTGCCGTTTCCTTCTTTGATAACACGGGTTGACTACAGGAGCACTATAATTATAGGGAAGTTGTGAGGAGTAGTGTAAAAAAAAAGTGCCTTACGAAATGCTGTTTTATTTTTACTTACTATTATTACTATGATTGCCAACACTAATTAGTTGCCTCCAAGCGTTCCCTCCTCCTCTCCCTGTAGTGGTTTATTCCACTCTTCCTCCGGTTATTTCCCATAGTTCCTTCCTCCTAGTTCCCGCACTAACACCCCTCCCGCAGCCCCAATGGTTTAGCCCGGCTTCCCCAGGGAAACCCCGAGGGGCGGAGCAAGAGTTATCTGCGAGTAGCCTCGCTCCCTCTCCCTAGACCATTTGGATCGCTCCACATTTGGGGGTGGGTCGGTAATCACGGGGCAGGGCGCGAGTCCCGGGCTTCGATTGGTCAGGGCCGAAGTAAACATCCGGCTGGGTGGGGCGGGGCCGGAAGTGGAAAGGGAAGGCGACGGCTGAGGCTTTTCCGGAGGTTCCGGACTCGGAGTTGGTGCCTCCAGGTGTCATGGGCAGGGCTGAGGCGTGCTGAGGGGGACGCCGGGTGCTGAAGGGGACGCGGGGCTGGGCCATGGCGGGTGCTAGGGCCGCCGCCGCCGCCTCGGGGGGGCCGTCGGCTTCTTCGGGCAACCAGCCGCCACAGGAGCCGGGGCTTGGGGAGCTGCTGGAGGAGTTCTCCCGGACTCAGTACCGGGCCAAGGACTGCAGCGGGACGGGCGGCTCTAAGGTGAGTTTGGAGGTGTAATGAGCACCAAGAGAACTCCTTGGCTTGAAAAGTTACAGAGGAAAGGCGGAGGTCAGGGGTCAGAGGAAGGAGAGAGGGAAGTTCCCAGGATCTGGACCCGGCGATTAAGGGTCGGGTTCAAAAACCGAAAAAGGAAGAACTGGGGTCAGAAGAAGCCAAGGAAGGACGTCCTTTGGTTTGACACAAGGCGTTTGGAGATCAAGGATCAGAGCTGAGGGACCATGTTCAGACATTAGAGAAGGGAAGCTGAGGAGGGTTTTTCCCGTGCATCAGGTGCAGGTACAAAAGTCTCACGTTGAGATGATACAAAAAAGTTTAGAGGATTGCTCCAGGTCAGAGGTCAGAATGGAACCAAGACATGGGCCGAGTGTGTTGCTTCCTTTAAAGCCTTCGGGTGACTTTAGGCCCATCCTTTTCCTTCCCCTACAGATAGGAAAACAGCCCGCACTCCCTCTATTCCTTTAAAAAGCAAGTCTCAGTTCCTCTTTTTTCTACTCTTGGGATTCCCTTCAGTCTCCTTATTGCCAGACCTGGAAGGTATCGAGCCTGGTTAAGGCCATTCCCATCCTAGCCACTGTTTGGCAGTCAATTGGAAATCTTGCAGATCCTCCTATCTCTTACTCCCCATGTGCTTTTGGCAGGTTTAGCATCAGGCTTTCCAGTGGGATTCTGTTCCATTCTGGGCCATGAAACTCTGGTTTGGCTCCAGGGGTACTACTTGCTGGAACATACTGCAGTTGGCATCCTGCTACTCTCTGGAGTAGCCTAGGGAAGACTTAAGTAATGATGGGATTTCCCCACTCCAAACAACCAAGTGGTTTTCAGAGCTTAGCCTGAGGACCACCTGTTTCAGCATTGTCTGGGATCCTTGTTAAAAATAAAGGTTCCTTGATCCCATCCAGTTCTACTGAGTCAGAATTTCTGAGGGTGGGAACCTGGAATTTGCATTTTTTAATAGGCTTCTTCATGATACTCATGCATCTTAAAATTTGAGAATTCCTAGTTTAAGCCACTATGAGTTTTTCCATTGGTCTTTTGAGTGGCTGTGGAGGGTCAGTGGTTTGCTGAGCCCCTCTTCCATCTTCCATCTCTAAAGATTAGGGTTGTCTTAAGTTATACCTGACTTTCACTGCAGCTGGCCTTAAAGCCTCTCCAGGCTTCCTGATCTCTTGTAGACTTCTCAAGATAATTACACGTCTTATGCCTTTTTTCTAGTGGACCTTTCCCTAAACTGTGAACTAAATAAGAGCAATTTTTTTTTAAAGATTTTATTTATTTGAGAGAGAGAGAGAGAGTGCACATGAGAGGGGGAAGGGTCAGAGGGAGAAGCAGACTCCCTGCTGAGCAGGGAGCCTGATGTTGGGCCTCGATCCCGGGACTCCAGGATCATGACCTGAGCTGAAGGCAGTCGCTTAACCGACTGAGCCACCCAGGCGCCCCAATAAGAGCAATTTTAAGGGGAGTTCATTCTTTTATTTGATAAATAAATGGAGTGTGGGGAGACAGCCTTGTCTGTAGCTTTTACTCATTACACTAACTAGAGTGTCCAGGTACTTGTCTGTGGCTAGAGAATGGGGAGTAATCTGGAGCCAGGGGAAGATAATGGATTAATGTTAAAGTAACCTAGAGCAAGAGTTCTTAATATTTTATGGATTGTGGACCACCTTGAAAATCTAATAAAAATTGTAGCCCTTTCCTTCAAATGCTTAACCGTTTCACTGCAACATTGAGGGGTTCAGAGACCTCCCAAAACATAACCGCATATAGATTAATGAAGTACACATCTAGGGCCTGTGTCCCAGCAAAGTGTCTCTTCCTGGCATTGAATAATAATCACAGAGGCACATGTCATTCCCAGTGACCTCTGCAGGTCCCGAGCTGCCTAATTCTCATACTCAGAATCCCAGAATCTTCTTTATGCTCAGGTCTCCTCCTCTGTGCAGGTTGAGCGCATTGAGAAGAGATGTCTGGAGCTGTTTGGCCGAGACTACTGTTACAGTGTGATCCAAAATGTGAATGGGGATATCTGTGGCCACTACCCCCAGCACATCGTGTTCCTGGAGTATGAAAGTTCTGAGAAGGAGAAAGACACGTGAGCATCATGTAACTAGAGTGTGCCTGTCTGGGGAGGCTCTGACATCTCATCCCCAGAGTCAGGAAATCTGCAACTGGGCGGGAAACTGGGCGGGGTAGACTCACTTTCCCCAGGTATGAAACCTTACCGGACTCTTTGTTCCATTCAGGGTTTGATAAGTTAGATTGACAAAGTAGCATGGCGTAGAATGAGAGGTTGGAAGTCACAATCCTGGACTTCTGTTTCTCCCCCACCCTAGGGCCCACTGACCTAAGACAGCTTACTTCACACCTCACCATTCTGAACCTTACTGTCCTTTTTTAAGGGAATGGGGTGGGAGCTGTGCTGTGTTGTTGACATTCTTAAGAGCACTTAACCATTTATAGGGCTTAAGAGCCTGAGATCTGAGGTCAGACTGCTTTGAGTTTACGTGCTGGCTGTGTAAGTATCTTGGGCAAATTACGTAATCTCTTTGTCTCTTGATTTTCTCATTGGTAAGTTTCTGTCTCTGTTTAGAAAAGTGGCTAGTGCAATCCCAGATGATAAGTGGGGCTGTTACAAGCCTGGCGTGTTTATTGTAAGAATTAGAAGTAAGAGCTACCATTTATTGAGGACCTACCAAGGCCCGAGTGCTTTCTCTGGGTAAAACCAGGTCACATACGAGCATATATAAAGCACCCGGCACAGGATACAACCAAAGGTAGTCAGTAAACGGTGGCAGTTGTTTGACACTAATAAATGATGACAGCATGGAGGCTCCAGGAAATGCTTTATGTTGATTTCAAAGTTTGTTCCCTTAGTCTCCGTGCTTGCTGCTGATTTTAAGAGAATCCAGGAGCTGTTGTCCACAGTATCTGTGAAAGCTTGGCCCTGTAGATGCGATGTTAATGATGAGTGCAGCAGGCCCTCACTATTGAAGTGTGCCCATCAGGAGCCTGCTAGAGACTCTGAAACTCTGGCTCCAGAGCCACTGAATCAAAATCACAGCCTAACACGATGCCCTAGTGATTCATACACACATTAAGGTTTAGGAAGCGCTGCTGCAGACAAACCAGGGAGAATGGTTAATTCTGCCTGGAGTGTGTGTGTTTAGGAAGAGCCCATGGTAGAGGTCCTCTTCAGTTGGAACTGGAAGGATGAGTAGCAGACCTGACATGTCCTAAAAGACCAATTTATATATGGTCTTGATCATCAGGCCAAAGAGTGTGGACTTGTGGGTGTTACAGTTTTTTTGTGCTAGTATCCCCTGAGCACTCATTAAAATCACAGATTTTAGGGTCCCTGAATCAGAATTTCCAGAATCTACATTCTTAGAGAGCTCTCTAGATGAGCCTTAATATACCGTGTAGCCTGAGGAACACTGCTAGAGGCCACAGGAAGCCAGAGAATGCTTTGCAGCAGAGGAATAACCAGGTGAGAGGAGTCTAAGGACTAAGCCTTCGATTCCTTACCTGTAAAATGTAATTTCTATTAAGTGTGCCATCTCATGAGGTGGTGGTGGGGTTCACTGAGAAAAAGGCAGGTATTAGGAAAACAAATTGTATGTAGATCATAGAAATTATATCCTCAGTCATATAACTTAAAGATTAAGTTTAATCTTTAAACTTAAAGATTTAAAGATTTGGGTTTTGTTAAGGCTCCATTATATATGGTTTCCATCCCTTCCTAACTTCTTCCAGAATTAGTTAGGTAGACTCAACATCTGTAAGCCCTTAGCTACAGTTTCTGAACAAGATCTCTTTTTCCTTGCCCTTGCCCTCCCCTCCACCCTCTTCAGTGCTGGCTGATGGTTTTACCTTGGTGCCCTGATGGCATTCTGCTATTAAGCTAAGCTTTAGTCAAGATGGTGCTACTTCAGCTAGACTATGAGCGAATCACCTGCGCTTTTAGTGACAACACAAAATCTGACTCAGTAGTCTGGAGTGGGGCCCGAGCTTCTGCATTTTCTCACAAGCTCCCAGGTGATGCCACCCCACCCTGTAGTAGAGGTACATTAAGGAACTGTGTCTTGGTTGCCCCATAGCAGCTTTTCCTGGAAGGAAACCAGCTCAGTGCTGATGGCAGTCGAGCCCTTAAAGAAGGGGAAATGAATGTTTGCCAAGGGCCTAATGTTTGCCAGGTGTTAGAGTTTCACACAGCAGCTCCCTTAAGCCCTGCAACAACCCAGTGAAGTAGGTGGTATCACTTCCATTGTCCCGAAGAGAAAGTGACAACCCAGGGAAGTAACTTGGCTTTCCTGAAGACCACAGAAGTAGTAAGCAGGGTGGGTTTAAAATCCGGGTCTTTCCTCACTCTGCTCCGTGGGTCTGTCTGCCTTTTCTTTCTGTCATCACCACAGTTCTTCCACCAGCAGAGCCGCACCTTCTAGGCCAGGGCCACGGTGGTGTATTTGTCACCCTAGAGGAGTTACTGAACTTTGTTTTTACTTTTTACTTCTTGTAAGGCCTTGAAGTAACTCGGAGTGGGCAGTGCCTTTCAGTTGAAGAGAAAGGAGTATATGCATGTTTAGGTGGGAAGAAACAGAACTTTTGCTTCTTTACATACCTGGCTTTGGTGTTAATAGGACAGTAATTAGACCGCATTACACAGGGTAGAACTGGATTTAGGAAGTGGTTTAGTTCTGTTAATCCACCTCCCCAGTTTAGCCCATCATCTGGGAATAGAAGTCTGGATAGGGATCTCTGAACAGCCAAGACATGTGTTTGTCAACAAGTGTTCATTGAGCTGCTGCCATGTGGCAGTGCCCAGGGATCCAGTTGGAAGTCCTACCAGATAGATGAAGTCCCTACCCTTAGATCTTTTGAGTAACACAGACCAATAAAGAAGCAATGACTGTGTAACAAGAACCAGAATTAGGGGAAGTACAGTACAGATGAGGCACTGGGGGATAGTGGTTAAGTTCTGTACCTAATTCCAACATGGGTGGGACTGAGGAGTCCCCCACACCACCAGTTCTTGGACACCAGCTGGGCGTCCTGCGATTCAGCTCAATTCTGACGCTATCTCCCCAGAGATAGCATCAGATTCCACAGGTTAATAGCTCAGTCCCACGAGACAAACATAAATACACAAGCCTATGTTTATTCATTCAAATCTGAGTATCATGTGCCAGATACAGCTCAGTGCTTAGCACTGTAAGAAAAAGATCCTAAGGCCAAGAGATAATAAAAATAAAAGCAGGAACTACTGAGAATGGAAGCTGAATTGTTTCTTTGAGTAGGGGAACTAGCAAAATAAACCACCACCTAGCCTAACCGGAAAAAGTATGCCACTTCTACATTAAGAGACTGCCCACAGCCCCTAAGAGGGAAATACTGGCATGTTTTCCATCTTGGTTTTATGGAGTTTGCCGAATGGAAGCTCTCAGCCTGGGAGCATCAAACACAGTTTGAAGGCATTTAGAACTCAGAGGGAGCTGCTGGTGTGACTTAGTGAGATCCTGTGGCAATAGATGGTGCTGATCAGATCTGTGAAAATGGCTTGGGGCCACCAAAAGGCAAGAGGAAGACTACTGTGGACAGTATTGTATGTGCTCTCTGTTTCATATTCTCCTGGCATCTGAGTTGAATTAGATTATTTTGTACTGAGGTGCCTTTTTTTTTTTAAAGATTTTATTTATTTATTTATAATAAATAAGCAGAGGGAGAGGGAGAAGCAGGCTCCCCGCTGAGCAGGGAGCCCGATGTGGGGCTTGATCCCAGGACCCTGGGATCGTGATCGGAGCCGAAGGCAGCCGCTTAACCGACTGAGCCACTGAGGCGCCCCCTGAGGTGCCTTTTTATTTCATAGAGAAACTGAGTGAGGGGAAGTGGCAGAACTTGGTTTTCAGTGAGCCATGGACTTTCTAGGGCATGGCTGGGTGGCCAGTGCCACCCTACAGGCACCTTGAAGAAGCACCCCAGCCTCTTCAAATTTGCCATTCTTGCTGACTTCAAAGAAGAAAAAAAAATGACTACAAAAGTAACATCTTAAATCAGACCTTACAGAAAAACACACCATGGGAAGTGTAAGTTCCGTTCTTTTACCCCCTTGTTCTCTTTCCAAGATCATCAAACTACTGGTCCAGGTTTTTATTTGAACCCCTCTTTTTAACTTCAGTTTCAGACCCCCACTTGACAGTAGTTACTGTGGCCTGCGAATATATCTGTAAAGGCTACTAAGAATCAGCAGTATCGTTAAAAGACTGTTAATCCCAACAGCATCCAGATAGACTTAAAAAGCTAACCACAGATGTGTAGGAGTTGAACTTACTCATTTGGAAACAGTTATTTGTATGCATTTGCTGTGCAAGAACACCTGGATGCCCAGAAGGATTAGGATGTAGAAGGAATTAAATGCCCTTGACCTGGAAGCTCACCCTTATAAGGAGGGAACATGAGCGTCTTCCTTCCCTTCTACTCATTTAATCTACATAGTGTCCCACTCTTAACTTTCCTGCCTCTCCTTTCTCGTGTAACTAGAAGCTCTGCCTGGCTGATTTGGATTGGTAGGTGAGTCTATAACAAGTGACCTTGTTTTTAGGGTCTACTGATTTGATTATGGCTTTGACTTGCTGGAGCTCATCTCTAAACCTGACTCTCTGATGTTCTGGAAGTTCCTTACCAAACCCAGTGCATTAACTACTATATTTCTCCGTGCCACAAATAGCTGCTTTTTTACCTCCTTTGCTCCAGCATTCCCTGCCCTGTTTGCTGTTTGGACTGTTAAAGATAGTTGGAATGTTGATGAAATATCAGAAGCTTATCACCATGTGAAATACGAACCTTCTTAGCCTGCCCCCTGAAAGATCACAAAAATGGCCCTGTGATTTCCATAGGGTCCCCAGGACAACTATTGTCTTACTCTGGGAGTAAAAAAATGTACACCCCGGACGTAATCAGCATTCAGTTTGCTATGTATATTTCTGTATTTTATGTACCATGTCTTCAAAGTAGCTCACTTGTTTTTTCATTTTAAGGATTCTAAAATCAGGATGACTTAAATTTTATTACCTATAATATAGCATTTTTTTTCTCTTCCTGAAAAGCTTAACATATCCGTGATCTAGAATTTAGGAATTAAAGCATTTACTAAATTTCAAATGAGTATTCATGCACACATCTGCAGACTTCGCGTGGGGTCTTTGTGAACACACACACACACACACACACACAGCCCACTTAGAAGCCAGCCTGACCTGACTCTTGCCTGTGCCTTAGGTTTCAGAGCACTGTGCAAGTGAGCAAGTTGCAAGACCTTGTCAACCGTAGCAAGACGGCCAGGTGCAGAGGACGGTTTGTCTGTCCAGTGATCCTGTTCAAGGGCAAGGTAAGAATACACCATTCCCTTAGACCCTGTTCTGGGGTAACTGGCTGAATGCAAAGTGTATGGTCGACTTGTTCTCAGCATTTGCCAGCCAAGTGTTGGGTGATTACTGGGTGCCTGGTGCTGTGCAGCGCAGGCCATAGAAACAGACCGATTCTTTTTTTAAAGATTTATTTGACACAGAGACAGCGAGAGAGGGAACACAAGCAGGGGGAGTGGGACAGGGAGAAGCAGGCCTCCCACTGAGCAGGGAGCCCGATGCGGGGCTCAATCCCAGGACGCTGGGATCATAATGACCTGAGGCAAAGGCAGACGCTTAACGACTGAGCCACCCAGGCGCCCCAGCAACAATCCAATTCTTATACCACCTTCCAAGGGAGTCTATGTAGGGAAGGGATAGTCACACCAGAGTACCCCACCCTGTGCTTTTTTTTTTTTAAGATTATTTATTTATTTATTTGTGAGAGAGAGAGAGAGTGCCCGATCAAGCACAAGCAGGGGGAGCGGCAGGCAGAGGGAGAGGCAGGCCTCCCACTGAGCAGGGAGCCCAACGTGGGACTCAATCCCAGGACGCTGGGATCATGACCTGAGCTAAAGGCACATGCTTAGCTGACTGAGCCACCCAGGCGTCCCACCCCACCCTGTGTTCTGGAGCCAGATTGCCTAGGTTCAGATCCTGGCCCTGTTACTTCCTGCCTATACAAGGCCTCAGTGTCCTCCTCTATAAAATGGGAATAATAATAATGCCTACATCAAAGGTTTATGGACTACATTAGATCAGGTAAGTTAATACATTGTTGTTTGTTCATTGTTGTTCATCCTATAATTTACTAAGTGTTTACTGAATGTATATTAGGTTTCAGGCCTTAAGATACATCAGTGTGTAGACAAAAACCCTTACCCTCATGGAGCTTATACTCTAGTGACGTTCGTTAACTTGGCTCCCCAGTGTGGTCTCATTTACCTATCTTTTTATAATCGTTTGATGTAATTGATGTTCCCATTTTGCAGATAAAACGAAGTGATTAAGTAACTTTGCCAAGTTTACCAAAAGAGCTGGGATTTGAACTGAACCTGGAGTTCCCTCAGGCTACCACACTGAAATTGAGGGTCCTCCAGTGTGGTGTAAGAGAAGCTTGGACAGCAGTGTGGAGTGACTCAACCGGTGGCCTCATTAAGTGAGCAGGCCGTGGCTTGAGAGCACTGGAGGAAAAATAATGCTAGCTGGCACACAGATGGGAAGGTGCTCCTAGCAGGTGGTGCAACATGGGGAAAGGCATGGAGATAGGAACCAGAGGGGCCCGGGCACCTCCCTGGCTGGTGGGGAAGGTGCGTGCCAGGCCAGAGGATGGAAGGGATTGATTGCAGGAGGCCGAATGCTGCCCAAATTGCTTGCATTTGCCAGGAGAGCAGTGTGATTTTTGAGCAGGGAAATATAGGAGGAAAGTAGCTTTTTCGGGGGGATTAGTCTAGGAGGAGCAGATGAAAGTAGGGAGAGCCTGGAGGAGGAAAGGGAGCAGATGCAGTCTCTCTCTTCGGTTGGCAGATACATGAGCATGTGGCTTGCAGAACCCAGCTGCGGTTACCCAGTGTGGGTGGTCAAGTGCCCGGACAGTGAGGAGGAGAGATATGAGGCTTGTTTGGGCCCCTTTGTGCCTGCCTTTTCGTAAAATGGGAGAAGGGCAAATGTGAAGGGGGAGTTAGGAAAGGGGACTTGAATGAAGGCTTGCTTGGAGAGGTCGATTGTATGGAAAAGCTGATATGGAAGTTCCTGAAGTTGATCGTCTTACAGCTTTTTGTCCCCCCTCCCCCTTTGGGAAGCTGTCGGGTTCTTGCAAGTTATTGGAACTCCAGTTTAAAGACCACTGCTCTATGGAGCATAGTGCTTGTCACTAGAAATTACATAGGTAATACTCAAACCAGTGTTTGCCGAAGTGTGTTCCAAAGAACAGTAGTTTAAGGATATGCTTGTGAAAAGCATTCCCTGTCCGTGAATGAGAAATTCTGCATACCTGAGTTGGCCTGACCACAGGCTCCACATTCATAAAGTCCATTGGTACGTGTACATTGATGTAACAAAGGCTCAGAGACGTCTTGTAGCAGAGAGACCTGTGTAGCTTTGTCAGGTCTGGTGTTTCTCACTGCTTTGTCTGTACACCACGAGTAAGGAACTTTCCTGAATGTGTTTGAGAAGTGCCACACTGAACAGCTGAACAAGTGGGGTTGCTAAATGGCAGATTGTTTGCACTTACAGACTAGGCAGGCCTGTGAAAAAGAGCCCTAAGCCACCTGATTTCAGAGGAAGACCAGGGAGTTAGAAGGATTATTCTTTGGAGTCTTTGGCATTCATAAATGTTTATGAAGGCCTTTGCCATTAATCCTGCTTTCTTCTCCTTTTACACCTTCTTATCCAGGCAGTGAGATACCATTTCATACCTTTTGGCTTCCTCTGACACGGTCACTTTTTACCTCCCTACCTCCCTACATGGGCTTCACTCTAATTGCGTGTTTGAATGTCTGTCATTTCCTCTCTGCCGTAATCCCTTTGAGGACAGGGGCCTTGTCTGACTGTTGTCCTCCCAGCGCCTAGCAAAGTACCCACCCGGCTTAGAAGTGGAGGCTCAGCTCCTGCTGTTGGATAAAGCAGTAGTGGGCCCTGTGCTAGTGTCTGGGGCGACAGAGATGAGTAAGGCGGTCCTCATCCTCGTGAGCCCAGTGAGTGGCAGACAAGTGAACGGGCAACCGAGAGGGAGAGTAGGAAAGGTAGGGGAGCGTGTTCTGTTGTGAGATGGGGACCTCATCCTCAGATGTGTGGCACACGGCAGGCACTTGGTAGCTAGGGCGGTGATGGCGGTTTATTACTAATACTTCAGAGGCGACACCTCTGCTAGGTTGGGGAAGGCGGGTGTGTTAGGAAGTGCTTGCTTCCTTCAAAACTCACTTCAGTGTGGCTAGTGCAACTGAGGAACGAAGTGTTTGATGTTATTGCAGTTAATTTATAACTGAAACAACGTGGAATTTTTTTGTGAAACACAACCGTATTTGGGGTCAGGACTACTTTTTCCTTTAAATGCTAAAAGTAAAGGGGCACCTGGCTGGCTTAGTCAGTACCCCATGCGATTCTTGACTTCAGAGTCATGAGTTGGAGCCCCACGTTGGGCATAGAGATTACTTAATTAAAAAAAAAAATTGATTGTAAAAAAAACAAGGCTAAAAGTAAAGCATTCAAGTAAAATACAGATCGAATTTTAAAGATTTAGTACAAAAAATGTAAAATATTAATGATTTTTAAAGTAACTATATGTTGATATAATATTTGGGATGTAGTTGGGTTAAATAAAATATATTATCAAAAATTTTTAAAAACTCAGTTCAAGCATTTAAGGGTAAGGTGTTCTCCTATGCCATTTTCTTCCCCAACACTTGTATTTGACAAGTCATCTTTCTCTTTGTTTCCTCCCTTAAGAGATGGGGAGTAAAGGTCTGCCACTTTCATCTGCATGTCAGAGTTGGTTAGTAGATAAGCGAATCCTACAGAGCGATACTCCCCATGTGGAATTAGAGGCCACTCACAATTAGATAAATGGAGAGCATTCACAGTGCATCCTGCTTTCTCAGTCAAGAGCTAAGCTTAAAGTGCAGAAGTGATAGGGTTATGGTTTGGAGCCATGAGGCTCAGGAGCAGGGCTCAGGAGATAGAGTCTGCAGTCCAGTACCGCTTCCGCCAGGTGCCACCTGAGGACCTTCCTTCAGAGGAGGTTAGTGCCTCACTGGGGGAGATAGCCAACTTGCCCGCTCTTTTCAATCTGATGAGTCCTCTGGGCCCGCGTCTCGCTGCCTGACTTACCAAAAAGGCAAGGACAGACAGATCTAAGGGATATGAGAGAACTGGGACAGAAGGAGGTATCTGGACCTAGAAGACAGTTCAAGAAACAGTCTCAAAACTCAAGAGCCAAAGACAGTGTGTGTCTCTGCTCTGAAAAGATTCGACAACAACAAAAAAATGCAAAGAAAAGTGAGATTTGGTGTTAGCAACTTAGATGATGGGGAAGGGTGGGGATGGTAACACACGCCAGTCAAACTCAGAGAAGCTTTCCCAGGCGGCTGCCGAAGATGGCGGAGGGGCGAGTACTGGTGCTCGATGGCAGCGGCTATCTCCTGGGCTGCTGGGCGGCCATCGTGGCCAGCTGGGTGCGGCTAGGCTTGAAGTCACGCGCTGTGAGGGCATCAACATTCCTAGCAATTTTACAGAAACAAGTTGAAGTAGCTGGCCTTTCTCTGCAAGCGGATGCACACCAACCCATGCTGTGGCCCCTGCCACTTCTGAGTGCCCAGCCGCATCTTCTGGCGGACAGTGCGAGGCCCACTGCCCCCTCAAGACCCAGCAGGGCCAGGCTGCCCTGACCGCCTCAAGGGTTCCTGCCACCCTATGACAAGAAAAAGCAGGTGGTGGTACTCGCTGCTCCCAAGTTTGTGTCTGAAGCCTACACGAAAGTTCGCTTACCTTGGGTGCCTGGCTCACGAGGTTGGCTGGAAGTACCAGACAGTACTTGAAGGACAAGAGGAAGGAGAAGGCCGAGATCCATTACTCGAAGAAAAAGCTGCTCATGAGGCTACAGAGACAGGCTGAAAAGAACCTGGAGAAGAAAATTTTGACAAATACGCAGAAGTCTTCAAGACACACGGACCCCCGGTCTGGGCCCAGTAAAATTGGCTGTTTATTTCTGGGGTGGGGGGAACCCTCAAAACAAGCTGAATGCCACCTATTGTCTTGCTCCTAGGAATCAGACCTCCCCACTTAACGTGAGAGTTTCTCAGGTGCTAACCCTGAGGATTGACACTTCCCTGCTACAGTTTTCCACTTCCCTACTCCCCATTACTGGGGTGGTCCCCTTAGAGCATCTCTTAATGGGGGCTAGAGATGGGTCCATGGATGGACTTGGGAGAGTCCAGGAACCTCTAAAATGTAAGTTAACTGTGGTGCACACATTTTTTTCTGGGGATAGTTGATCATTTTCATCAGATTTCCAAAATGCTTTTGGACCCAGAGAAAATTAAGCAGCCCCCACCAGTGTGTATCCTCCTCAGGCCAGCAGGAATCCCAGCCCATGTCCTTCATCACAGACTGCCTGGACAACCTTCCCATGAATCTCTTCTTGTCCCCAGCCCTGAAAAAACACCACACGCTGCCTTAGGTTGCTTTTTTATTACCTGCCCCCTCCCCCAGACTGTCACTACCTCAAGAGAGCCGGAAGGTGACCTGGTGATGCCCACCCACACCCCTTTCCTGTAGCAACAAAACCTTGTCTCTCCTATTATCTAACAGGTAGAGAAAAAAAGAAGCCCTCAGGCAGTATTTTGCAGTCTTCAGGGACCTGCTTTACCTTGCCAGTCTGTGTGACCCATTCAGAAATGAACTTCACCCCTCTCTGTCATGCAGCTGTCCTCTCTAATATAAACTCCGAGCCACCTCACTGCCACCCCTGGCCTTTAGCTAAACTCTGGGTTAGTTGGCTTACCCATTACCACCTATATCCTCCCATGCCCCCAACCCTACTGGATCTCATTACAGTTTAATTAAAGATACAGCCTTAAAATTAGATTTTGAAGTTGCTTTAAAAACTTCTAATGAAGTTGTCCAGTTGCTTGGTTTCTAGGATTCTAGCTCTCAAAGTGATCTTTAAGTAATGAGGAAAAGAGTAAAAAAAAAAAAGAAACAAAAAAACCCGTAAGCACAGATGTTGGCGGGGATGCGGAGAAAGGGGAACCCTCCTACACTGTTGGTGGGAATGCAAGCTGGTGCAGCCAATCTGGAAAACTGTATGGAGGTTCCTCAAAAAGTTGAAAATAGAGCTACCATATGATCCAGCAATTGCACTACTGGGTATTTACCCCAAAGATACAAAAGT